TAACACTCGTTTTAATAACAACATTTGTAAACCACAATCAAAGCGTACATGGGGTCAGCATCGGTTTGTTTGTCATGCAGTAGATGACTGGAACGCTCTCCCAGACGGCATTAGGAACATTTCCGATTTTTCAGTTTTTAGACGTCTTGTTAAAAACATGTAGTCTCTTCTATTGATTGCCCTTTTATCCTTTTCTTGATAATCATATTTATATTTTCTGTTATCCTTACGTTAGATTTATGCAGGGCCTCACTGAAAACCACACTTTGTGACGTGGGCTCCCTGTCAAAAGATCTTACTTATTATTATAATGTATTTTCTCCCCACTGCCCCCTAGATACCCCCTGTGTTGCTGACAAGGAGAATTTGTCCAACAATCAAAAGCTTCTTTAGTTGGTGATTATTTCTTCTATTCTCATTACTTTAATATTTGATTCAGGGGTGATATTGTAAGGAGAAATTAGATGTTAGTCACTCCAAGGGGCTACTATGCTCATATTGGTAACTGAACCTGTCCAGTTGTCACAACTGCTTCTATGTGATGCACTCTTTTAATAACTAAACTTCCTGACAACTACAAACATGTGGCGTTCCAAAGCGGAATACACATGTACAAACTGAACTACAATTGTTGGAGTGGTGGACTTGATATTACACCAGCAAGAAAGAAAAATCAGTTAAAAAAAAACTGTCTATCCTGTAAAACATCTGACAGTAATTATATTATTGATGATTATAGGAATGATAGAAAATAAATTTCATTATTTTGGTTATCTCATGATTGCTTTCTCTAGAGTTGTGGATGTATTAATTATCATAACTGGGCAGCATTTAAATACTCTAAAAACCTTTTTTTTGCTTCTGTTAAGCAACCAGTTGATCTTTAGGGGTCATTAAAATTAATTATCAAAACTAGGCAACGGAAATATGTATGTCTGAAACTTCTCAAACCCAACTAGTATACTCAACAACATTTGCTTATTGCCCTGTTATTTGTTTTATTTTCCCAACTTATGAAGTTGACATTTCAAATGAACACTTCACTTGAGCATTGAATGACACAGGTATATCTATAGACTAAAGAAAAATTAAAAAATGCAATGTCATGCCAAGATAATAAAAGGAGATAAAACTGAAAGAACTTAAATGCAGCTAAAACAATTGACAGTTGAAAAGGTGGAATTTTCAACATAAATGGTACCTGTATTTAATGATAGGAAAGCTATTACAAGAGAAAAAGTAACC